GATTTAAAGACTCTCTTATTCTCCCTAAGGAGAAACTTTCAATTAAAACATAGAAAGTTTTATTTATTATTCTTAATTTTTCCCATTACTTTTTGGTCGCTTTAAAAGTGGGAGTTTAAAAGTGTCACATAGAAAAAAATGGTTGTAATTCCTACACTGTTGACCCAGTTTGAATGTAAAGGCTCTCAAATAAGAGCTGAAATTCTGCAGTAAAGCACATCTTTATTTGAATTTTAAATCCATTGTGGTGTTGTATAGAACCAAATAGCTCTGCGTCAGGAAGTTAGGAATTAAAAATGTCAAGTAGTCTAAAGGCTTTTAAAATTTGCGTGTTGGAATGGTGTGAGGTTCTTCATTGGTTTGACAGTAAAGTTATTTCCCTCATTGGTATAACGCAACAAAGTAAAATGTGCAGTCTTGTCATGAGTGGGTAGTACAAGAGACAGTTTTACCGTTTAACTTTTTTTTTATTTCAAGATTTCAATCATTGCTTCATACAAAATGTTCAGTGTAGAAACAATTGCAGAATTCAAATTCCGGGCAAGAAACATAAAACCGAGGAAGACAATATTTCACTGAATCCCAAGACCCAAATAAAGGTATGGTCTTGCTCTTCTGCATGAAATTGAACTACAAGAATGGTAAATACTGTTTTATTAGAAACAGGTCCTTTTATTTTTTTTTCAGAAGCCCCACAGTTTTTTTTATTATCAAATATTAAAAATCAACAACCAAAAGCAAATATTATCCAAAAGTATTTACATGCACATTAAGGCTTACAACATGCAAACATTTTCTATCAAAAGAAAAAAAGACACATCTGCCCTCTTAAAGTGATGTAGAAATATTGGATTAAATTTTAAGTATTTTAGCTGTTTAGCTTTTTTAAGTTAAACTTGGGCACTGCCAGATTTCCTCTGATGCCACACGGATGCCACATATTATCAAGAAGAAGATATTCAGATGAATATTTCCATCCTACAATGACATAGTTTCAAATGATTTAAATAAATGAAAAAAGGGCACCGTTTCCTCACTGATTTATGAAACGACATCATGACTAAAGAAGACTTACTTTTAACTTCGAGCCAGGGGATTTATTGTTGACACAGTCGAAATGAATAGATGCTAATCATGCAAATATACATACAAAGTTGCAAACCACTTAATATTTAGTGGCTTGTTTACATGTTGTGGCAGTATGCAATTCAAATGCTTCGTTTTTTGCATTTTATTTTTTAAAGCATGTTGTAAACATTTTGTCAAAATCAACAGCATTTGAATCTACAAAGTTGATGGATAAATGTTTTTTTTTTTTTTGTTGCAACCTTCCACATTGCTTTGCTGCTGCAGTTTTCCAAATGTTGCAGACTAGTTTGATACCTAATACCTAATTTCACAAGGCCATCCATCCATCAAGATGCATATCACAATTACTAGAAGCATAAAAATCAGCTGACATATTTTTTTTCTAGTTCAGGACAAAGTGCAGTTCCAAGTTTCGACACTAAACTCTCCAAGGTCCTGTGTCGGATACATTTAGGTATGAGTGATCTGGCAGCAAGACATTTGTCTCCTTCAAATTGAATGCAAAGATCAATGTATGTCAATGGGAACCTCAGAGAAAAAAAGAGGTGTACTGAGCATTTTTAGCCATCATTCTGCAGTGTTCTATCAAACTGGATGTTGTCGATCCCAGACTACAAGCATACTGTTATACTTTTTGTATGGAGGGGAATGCATGTTCCAAATGAAGTAATTTTTTCTGTGTTTCAACACATTAGCCATGTCCCAGTACAGCACGACATAATAATTCAATCAGTAACCTTACACTTTTGTATTTGTTTATAGCAAATGTTGATCGACGTACAATAAATGATTGCAGAAATACTGAACTACCAAAATGTTTCTTAATCATTTGATTGAAAAGATAAAACTATATCAAAAGAGGAATTAAATAAATTGACATTTAACTTGTGAATACATGACTGAATGGCATACTATGGTATGTTACTGGTACACTACATTAAAAGCACACAGTGTCAACTAAAAAAAAAGAGAATTGGTGCATGTATTGGTGATGCATTGATGGTGCATTACCAGTGAATGCATTCATGGTGCAGATATTCTTACTGCTTCTGACTACTATTCCACAGGCTATGCAGAATATTAGTACAAACATGTAGCAGACAAACTGGAGCACAGCTAATAGTTCTATTGTAGTGTAGTTAGTTTAATCTAATACAGGAGGAAAGTTATTTTCTCTGAGTGTTTGTTTATTTTTTAACGCTCACACCAGTACATGCTGACAGTTCTGACTAGTTTATAAGAAATCCAGTTTTTATTTTGGTTTTGAGAATAAGTTTTCTTGGGTATTTTAATCATTATGCTTTTATAATGCATAACTTTTACTGTCTTGGCATGACATAATCACACACTTTTTTTTTTTTTTGTCCAGCTCGAACCAAAATATGGAATGCAAAACTACATCTGACAGAGAAAAAAAACCCTGAATGAGACATAAAACCTACAAGAAGATGGTAATTCTGGTAATTCTGTAAGTCTCCTTCATACACACACAAGAACACACACATGCATATACACAGAGATATCTGAAAATAACCAAATTAGATCATCTTTTGGAATCCCTACCTCAGAAAACACTCATCAACCCAAATGTCAATCCAGTAAGATCTAAACTGACCACCAACATACTTTCCATTCAAAACAAAACAGGAGCTTGTTATGACTACGATGTAACGTCCTTTCCAAAAATGCAGGCAATCAGTATTTAAACATGCACACTAGTTAACAGACATTGATGTAAATCATTCTACGCAGAGTTAAATGCTCTTTGTTCTGATTAAATGATGGAGAGAGACAAACATTAACAAAATGATCTATTGTAAATATATTTGTTTAAATTCTTCATTTTCAAGCGTACTGACGGTATAGACACTGCTTGTAGGTAAGGCTTTCTGTACAACGTCTTTTTCTGCAAGGCTACATACAGAATGAATCAAATATCTACTCTGGAATGGATGCATTAGAAAACAGTTGATATTTCATTGTTTCCTACGGTATATTTAAAAGGATAGGCACTTTTGTCTTAAAACATCGCAAAGAGAATGATAACAACTCTTAGACACAACAATGGCAAAAATATGCGTAGTTCAATTCAAACGTAATATAAATGGTACGATATGAATAAAAGAAAACAACCGCAATGACATTTGATACAAAATCAATCAGTGATTTGATTGGTCAATAAATAAATAAGTGTCATGTCTACCAAACGACCTTTGTTGGCAAAATAATAGCTATCTGACAGCTCATCAAGTGTTCAGGAGACACTCATGTCGGAATGGCAGAAACAATTAGGCATCGCTATGGAATGTTAAATTGTAAACAAAAATAAAAATCAACACACCTATTTGGACAGTGCCAGAAGGTTTGTTGTGTTTTAAACAATTCAAAGAAACCATTGGATTAAACCTCTGGCCTGGATTCTTCTGTTGCCATGACTACCAGTGGGTTGCTTACTGTTGAAACCACCATACTTCAGTCCTTCTGCTGCAAAAAGCAAGGCTTAAAATGAAACGTCATTGAATTTATTTAGTGTGTTGTGCTTTTGTTTGTAAGATTTAAAATACTGTTTCCTTATTAAGTTGACTGGAATGCAAATTTGAACTTGTGGCATGCCAAATCATTTCACAAAATACCGTATAAACTTTAAAAGTGAATAGAATCTGTGCCCTAATGTCCAAATCTGGAGTAAAACAAAGCAACCCAGCACGAGGGAGCAAAGTAAGTTTCATTCAAATCTACTGCGTTATATTGACCACATTTATAGAAGTACAGCTAGGAACAATTACAATTATGCAAAGCTAGACAATTATCACAGTTCAAGCTCGGCTAAAGTTTTAGTTTAGATAAAAATGTATGAATGGGGGAGTGTGATTTGTAATGTAAAAGCATCATGAGATCAGTTAATTTACCATTAAACAGATTTAGGGTTGTAGAAATGAATATATAAATGTAAGATGCATAGGCCAGATCCACCGGTTGACATTAGATTGAAAAAGACATAATTTGTGGCTCTCACAAAATAAAAACAGTGAAAATAGAAAAATATATCAGCATTTGTTTGCTTGACGAAAAGAATTAGCTGGATACAGATTGGATTTGTGTATCACAGACTGCAGCGTGTCTTCATTTGGAGCCTGCCCCCCACCAGATGTCACCAGATGGAAAATGATAAGTCTTTATACAGTAATAATATCTAAATCTGTCCTCAATAATATCAATAAGAATATTTAGGTAAACATTAATGCATAATCTGAAGGGACAAAAGCTACTCCTTCAACACTGAATAGATCAAGAGCAAAACACGGCTAACTGAAAGTGTGACCTGAAAATAGCTTTTCTCTTTGAAGGAGATGCTACATGGACTACATGAGGATTCAAAGGTTTGAAACATCTTTCAAAGAGCAGTGGCTCACATGTTGAGAATGCTCTATAACTTGGTTTATGAAACAGTGCTACATCAACTACCAGTTGGGTTATTGGCAAGTTTGCTCAGATGAAATATCGACGCGTGCCTTTCTATTTAAGAAATAAAACCGGTGAGTTACATTTTTAGAGACCGTAAATGTGTGATGCTGTGCATTACAAATGGGTTGCATTCTTGCATTTGATTTAAAATTTTTGTGTAGGTTTTACCAGTTTATGTGGCTCATTTAGTTCAGATCAATCTTACATTGTACTGTATGTTCGCGTCCCATAAATTCAGATACTGCTTATGGCCTCACTCACAATTTAAAGACACCACTGATTACAAACAAAAACTGTTCTCTGTTTCACCCCAAAAAAGTATATTTGTTCAAAGTTATGGGATTTAATGATGTTAAAAAAGTCTGTCTATGAGTTGAAGTTGTTTGGGGGTCAGTATGGTGGCCTCAACAAACACTTGAGTCAAAGCAAATCAGACTAGTCCTTACAAAATATCTCATATTGGCAGCTTGTATGCATTTCATAATGCTTTTCCCTCTTTGAAAATGCGTTAAAATATGTTCCGATCGAAGCATTTTTTTCCTCTTCGGATGTTGCTGCCGACTTAACCCTCAAGTTAAGAAACAACATTTAATCAGAGAAAGACGATAAGAACTGAGGTTTTTAAAAGACGATGCTGAAACACGCATATTTCCCCAAAAAATACACAGAAAAAAAAGTTGTCTAGCCATTCTAGCACCATTCATTCTTCTCTACCCTCCGGTACCTCGGCGCCCTGGTGCCAGAGCTTGGTCATGCTATTCCCGAAACTGAAGTGATACCCATTGGGCTCGCCGAATTCCACGCCAATGGCCGGAAGTAGGGCTCCCGTCGTGTGAGGCACTGCGGTCCGAGACGAACGCCCAGCACTGCGGTCAGGACGTCCAGGTGCTGCGTCCTGGAAGAAATCCGATTGGCCTCGCAGGCAGCTGTACGAGCTGCACATGGCCCCCCCGTGGCCCTGGCCCGGGCCCAGAAAGGGCTCGGAGCGGATGCGAGTAATGGGGACGGGGTGGGAACCGTTTGCTGTCTTGTACAGCACCCCGGGGCGCGGGACGGGCGGGGTCTGCGGGAGTTTTCGGCGTCCACGGACCGGCGCTCTGGAAGCGGAGCTCAGTACTACTGGGCTGCCTTTAACCCAACCACTGCCCTAGATGAAAATTGAACAAGCATTTTGAAATAATAGAATGATGATGAAAATATGCAAGAGAAGAGAAAAGGACGTTGAAAAAAGGAAGAAAATAAAACAGGAAATGATCAAATGCGATGGTTACAACATACAGTGGAGAAAACAACATTAACAGAGAGCAGAGAGAAGACAGAATAAAAAGAGGAAACGGGAATGAAAATATGAAATGTACAGTGACAATATGAAGTGGGGAAAGAATTGAAAAGCCATGAGAGGCTGTACTAAATGAGGACAGAAGAGAATTCAGTGTTGAGAACATTTAGGAATCCCATTAAAACTTAAATTAAAATCAGAGAGCCCTAGACATTAGGCATTAATTACAAGATATATCAAATAGCAATATTAATTTTAAGGTATGTTTATATGAAACGGAAGTACCTGAAAATTAGATAAAAATATCACTGAATAAAATGGATTAATTGATTCATTGTCCATATCATTTATTCCTAGCTGACATTGGGTGAGAGGTGGGATAGAGTCTGGACATTACAGGGTCCATCACAGGGCCACACGTATAGCCAAACAACCACACACACTCACATTCACTCCGAGGGGAAATTTAGAGTGTTCAATTTACCTAACGTATGTTTTTTGGATGGTGGGGGGAAGCCAGGGTACCTAGATGGAACTCAATCTTAAAAAACTGTGAATGACCAACTCAAGATACCTGTGTGAGGCAGTGCAATGTACTTGGATCCAAATAACATTGCAAATTGTTGTAGTAAGAGACATGAGGGGTCATTCACTCATGACACAGATGCTTCCATAGCAACCAGATAAGGGGCATGTATTTTTTTGTTTGTCTTTACATTAGACAGGTTTGTTTTTTTTACTCATGAATGAGCCGGCTCTAAACTCTGACAATGAATCAGCAGGTTTCAGAAATCTCAAAATCAATCTGGAGGTTAGATTTTGATGCATAGATTTCCGTGTTTTGGTCTTGTCCTGTTCTACATGCCCATGCTTTCCCACCTGCGTGACGCCGGGTCCCTGTCCCTCAGTAGGAGAGGCAGCACAGCTGGTGGTGGCAGATTTGGTGTAGCAGTGTTCCCGGCTACAGTAGCGGTCACAGGAGTAGTAACGCTGCTTTTCTGCCGACGAACGGTGGTGTTTCCGCTCGTGGGAACGCCCTCGGTTTCGGGAGGCCCGTTCTCTTGAAGCATCGGGGTCAGACGCTAGCTCTTTTCGTAAAACTGTGGAGAAAAAGAAAAATATTGCAGGGTGACAAGTGATGCATCTACAGAATCCCATTAAGCTGAAGAAATACTTTGGTTACTATAACAATTAATATATTGTTTATTGTATCAGTGTTAGCTATCTTGTTCATTTGTACAGTAATTTTTGTACGGCTACATTATTCAATTGCTGCTATTGCTTTAGCAAATTCTGCTTCAAGGAATTAAGAAAAACTTTGTTAATTTTCATTTAAATGTTTTCATTGACCAAATCGCAAAAATAAATACATAAATCGTAATCCTAAATGCTTTAGATTTTTATGAGATGTTACTCCACAAATAATAATTTGAGTAACAATAATAACTTCCAAAGTTTAGTTTTTGTTGTAATGAGAGGAGAAGGAACCGACTGACTGACCAGCACAGCCAGTGAGTTGAGAACCCAAAGGTGTGTCCAGAGACCTCTGCCTCTTCTCTTTTTCTCGGTCATTATCTCTGTCTCTGTCTCTGTGGTGGTGGCAACGGTGATGGTGGTGATGGTGATGCGTCCGCTCTTGATGGGGCTTCTCCACGGTGCGGTCTCGTATATTGACCTCATGGGGTCGCTGTGGGGCCACAGTGGACGCTGAGCGCTTCATAGGACTGGTGTTAGGGATGGACTGAAGGAGAAGGGAGAATAATGACAACAGTATTACTTAATTTTATTCTTTCTTTCACTTTTGAAAGACATTGATTTTATTTGACAAAAAACAAAATTACAGTATGATATATATATATCAATCAAGTCAACTGAATTTTATTTTGTAGAATTACACCAAGGTTTCAGCAGTGTCAGGTCAGACTGTTAGCATAGACACACTTTCAATACGTTCTTGGATATGCGATTATGTGCATAATCTTGCATAACAGTGAGATTTTTTGCTTGGGCTTTCAAATGTATGTGTGCATTCCTTCTAAAATGATGATGTGTGATGTTACAGTGTGTACATACAGTCTGATGAATCCCTAGAGGCTGCCGTGAGTTGCTCTCCTGTTATAAACAGGTGGGGGTGGGGGGTGGGGCAGTAAAAGAGGAGATAAGGATAATCAACTGAGATAGGAAATGACATGTATTTCTGCGTTTTTGTTTGTAACCATATGTGAGCATTGGAAATGTCCATATTCTGTACTTGGTTTGTTTGAAAGATGTAAAGCTTAGATTAGGACATTTTTAAAATAGCAACGTTAGCATCAATTGATCAATATGAATTTATCATAACACTGAAATTGCTTTTAAAGGATTTAGGGTACAAAGATAAAGAATTAAAACGAGTCTTACCTGTAGTTTGGCACTAAGTCGAGGCAGAGAAGCAGCTCTGCCCTTGCTTTCCAGACTTGAGTCAGGGACAGGGACAGTATGACTGGTCTCGATGTTCTTCATCTCTACTGACTCCTGTCCATACATAAGCACAAGTAGAAGCAAAAGTATAAGCACAACATAAATTTGACACAAATAACTAAGACACAAATAATAATATATTTGAAATATTAAAACAGAGTATTAAGCAAAATGACTGATAAATATGAAAAACGGTATGGTTGCAGTTAACTGTAATGAACTTAGGCATTTCTTGTATCTGATTTTTAAGGTGATCACGACACAAGATACACTACATATTTTGTCAGAAAGCTAATGTGAAGTGATTTAATCACACTGCAAAGCTTGGCTATGTTTCTATCAACATTACCTGAAAAACCACAGGGTCTGGTGTAGCCTCTGATGGACCCCTGGGCAATGTTCTCCCAGTCTTAGTATGCGGAACTTCCTTGGGCTTCTCCATCAACCAGGAAGAGGACGGCTTCATCTTTTGGTCATAACCTAACCTGTGTTGCAACAGGTGCACGTCATTATACATTTATGAGGTAAGAAATTGACATTTTCGCCCTGGAAATTCTCAAATGATTTGATGGGACTGACACAATTTGATAGGGTGCAAACAGTTGTGTGTGTATGTGTATATATAGTATATACAGGGATTGGACAATGAAACTGAAACACCTGGTTTTGGACCACAATACTTTATTAGTATGGTGAAGGGCCTCCTTTTGCGGCCAATAGAGCGTCAATTCGTCTTGGGAATGACATATACAAGTCCTGCACAGTGGTCAGAGGGATTTTAAGCCATTCTTCTTGCAGGATAGTGGCCAGGTCACGACGTGATGCTGGTGGAGGAAAATGTTTCCTGACTCGCTCCTCCAAAACACCCCAAAGTGGATCAATAATATTTAAAACTGGTGACTGTGCAGGCCATGGGAGATGTTCAACTTCACTTTCATGTTCATCAAACCAATCTTTCACCAGTCTTGCTGTGTGTATTGGTGCATTGTCATCCTGATACATGGCACCTCCTTCAGGATACAATGTTTGAACCATTGGATGCACATGGTCCTCCAGAATGGTTCGGTAGTCCTTGGCAGTGACGCACCCATCTAGCACAAGTATGGAGCCAAGGGAATGCCATGATATGGCAGCCCAAACCATCACTGATCCACCCCCATGCTTCACTCTGGGCATGCAACAGTCTGGGTGGTACGCTTCTTTGGGGCTTCTCCACACCTTAACTCTCCCGGGTGTGGGGAAAACAGTAAAGGCGGACTCATCAGAGAACAATACATGTTTCACATTGTCCACATCCCAAGATTTGCGCTCCTTGCACCATTGAAACCGACGTTTGGCATCGGCACAAGTGACCAAAGGTTTGGCTATGGCAGCCCGGCCGTGTATACTGACCCTGTGGAGCTCCCGACGGACAGTTTTGGTGGAAACAGGAGAGTTGAGGTGCACATTTAATTCTGCTGTGATTTGGGCAGCCGTGGTTTTATGTTTTTTGGATACAATCCGGGTTAGCACCCGAACATCCCTTTCAGACAGCTTCATCTTGCGTCCACCGTTAATCCTGTTGGATGTGGTTCGTCTTTCTTGGTGGTATGCTGACATTACCCTGGATACCGTGGCTCTTGATTCATCACAAAGACTTGCTGTCTTGGTCACAGATGCGCCAGCAAGACGTGCACCAACAATTGGTCCCCTTTTGAACTCTGGTATGTCACCCATAATGTTGTGTGCATTGCAATATTTTGAGCAAAACTGTGCTCTTACCCTGCTAATTGGACCTTCACAGTCTGCTCTTATTGGTTCAATGTGCAATTAATGAAGATTTGCCACCAGGCTGGTCCAATTTAGCCATGAAACCTCCCACACTAAAATGAGAGGTGTTTCAGTTTCATTGTCCAACGCCTGAAATCCATCCATCCATCCATGCATTTTCCACCGCTTATCCGGGGTTGGGTCATGAGAGCAGCAGCCAAAGCAGGGAAATCCAGATTTCCCTTTACCCCACCACTTCTGTCAGCTCCTCCGGGGGTATCCCAACGCGTTCCCAGGCCAGCCGAGACACATAGCCCCTCCAGTATGTCCTGGGTCTTCCTCTGGGCCTCCTCCTGGTGGGACATGCCCGGAACACCTCACCATGGAGCAACCAGGAGGCATCCTAATCAGAGGCCCGAGCCACCTCAACTGGCTCCTCTCAACGTGGAGGAGCAGCGGTTCTACTCTAAACCCCTCGCGGGTGGTCGTGCTTTTCACCCTATCTCTGAGGGAGAGCCCAGCAACCCTGCGGAAGAAACTAATTTCGACCGCTTGGATCCGCGATCTCATTCTATCGGTCAATACCCAAAGTTCGTAGCCATAGACAGGGTGGGAACGTAGATCAACTGACAAATCGAGAGCTTCGTCTTTAAGTTCAGCTCTCTCTTCATCATGACAGACCAGTACCGCATCCGCATTACTGCCAACGCCGCACCGATCCGCCTGTCGATATCCCACTCCCTACCCCCATTCACGAACAAGACCCTGTACTTGAACTCCTCCACTTGGGGAAAGACGCCCCCCCCCTATCCAGAGGAGGCACTCTATCCTTTTCCGGTGAGAGACCATGGTCTCAGGCTTGGAGGCACTGATCCTCATTTCAGCCACTTCACACTCGGGTGCGAACCGCTCCACCTGATGAAGCCAATAGGACCACATCATCTGCGAAAAGCAGAGATGCGATCCTAAGGCCACCAAGATGGACACGTTCGACACTTTGGCTGCTCCTAGAAATTCTGTCCCCAAAAGTTATTAACAGAGACAGAGACAACGGGCAACCTTGGCCGAGTCCAACTGGAAACGAGTTCGACTTACTACCGGCGATGCGAACCAAGGTCTGACACCGGTCATACAGAGACCTAACAGCCCATAACAAAAGGGCCTGGTACCCACTGTAAACACTGGGGATGAACCTTGAGCCATGGTTCTGCTCGAGGTTTCTGCCTGTTAAAAGGAAGTTTTTCCTTGCCTGTGTCGTGTAGTGCTTGCTCATGCTGGCAATTGTTGGGTTTCTGTAATTAACTTCAGAGTACGGTTTGACCAGCTCTGTTTGGAAAGCGCTGTGAGACAACTGTTGTTGTGATGTTGCGCTATATAAATAAAATTGAATTGAATTGTTGGTGAAGCACTGCTCCCACCCCCCCACCCCCCTCCGAAATGCCTGATGGTGGACCAGAATCGCCTCAAAGCCGCACAGAAGTCTTTTTACATGGCCTCCACGAACTCCTCCCACGCCTCGGCAACCACCGGAGCCGCATGCTGCTTGGACTGTTGATACCCATCAGCTGCCTCTGGAGTCTCACAGGCCAAAAAGGCCAGTAGGACTCCTTCTTCAGCCTGACGGCATCCCTCACCGCTGGTGTCCATGAGCCGGTTCGAGGGTTACTGCCGCGACAGGCACCGAAAACTGATTTCAACTCCGGGAAGCCGTGTCGACAATAGAGGCACGGAACATGGGCCACTCGGACTCAATGTCCCTTACCTCCCCCGGAACGTGCTCGAAGCTCTCCCAGACGTGGGAGTTAAAGCTCCGCCACACTCCATGGGTGCAAGCCCAGTCACCAGGCACTCGCCAACGTGCCCCAACCCTGGGCCCGGCTCTAGAGTGGGGCCCCGGTGACTCACGTCTGGGTGAGGGTACACTTGGTTCATTAAATTAATTCATCATACGGGGTCTTTGGGCTGCGCTTCGTTTGATCCCTTGCCTAAGACCTCTTTGCCTTGGGTGACCCTACCAGGGACTTGAAGCCCCAGACAACATAGCTCCTAGGATCATTGGGACACTCAAACCCCTCCACCATGATAAGGTGGTATATTAGGGGTGGGACGGTTCACAAAATCCACGGTTCGGTTCGTTTCACGGTTTCGTGGTCACGGTTTTCGGTTCGGTTCGGTATATGGTGATCGTTAGGAAAATCTATTATGTCTTGTATAGTCAGGTTAAAACTAGGAATGGGGATCGTTAATATTTATTGATATCGATACTTTTATCGATACTCCTTATCGATCCGAGTCTTTATCGATACCACTATCGATAATTTTCTGTTATTTGGTGGAAAGACGATGCAACAATATTTAACAAATAAATAATTGTATTTTAAATTAAATGTAATTTTTAATAAATGTTGGCATCAGTAGTTTAATTATATATTCTAAAAATAATTAGAGCAATATACAACTGTATTACTCATGTTTCTCGCCAAAAACTCAATTTCCCTTTTCTTTACGTTACACTTGAACGCATCATGATAACCTAATTGTCGTTTTACTGAGCCAATCAGAACACATCATCACGCAGCACGTCTGAAACTTTATTTACTTTTCAAGCTAACTAGCTTGTATGCTGCCGATTACAACACAGATTTCACAATTACTATTGTAATAAAAAAAACGACCAGACTCGATAGTGGTATCGATAAGCCCAAACGTTATTGATTTTTGGGTTTTGAAAAAAGTGGAACCAGGTCCTTGATAGAACCGGGTTTCGATCCCCATCCCTAGTAAAAACTGAAAGAAAAAAGCAGTCTGACATTTGATCCATTATTGTGACAGTCTTAGGTTAAAAGTAGGTGAGATTCTGGCATTGCAAGAGAGGAAACAGTGCTAATTCCAACATGTGCTTCCCTCTAAATGCAAAGTGGTCCATACAGCAGACCTAGAAACTGCTGTTGGCGCGTCGGATTTTTATCGGCTACGCTGCTTCTCTTCTTCTTTTTGTTTACTACTGGTGGTTGACTTTGGGTGCAGTAGCGCCCCCTTCTGCTCTGGAGTGAACACGCTTCCCTCTGAGAAAAAGGAGCAGTGCATGAACCGTGCGGTACACACGCGAACCGAACCGAGACAGTCGAACCGAACGGTTCAGACGGTTTTCAGAAACCGTCCCATCCCTATGGTATATATACACACACACAAGCCCATAAGGAATACATGATGGATAGATGGATGGATGGATGGATAAGATCCTCATGGAAAGACAAGCCAAATGGTCTATGGAATCGTTTCTTTGTGACAAGTATAAGACAACAATGAAGGACAACTGGGTGACAATGTGCCGGCTGTACCTTGGAGTTGGACTGTGGTGGTAGTTTGTGTATTAGATTAGTATTTATGATGTTGATGACAAAAATTCTAAAATTAAACGTTCGGTGAGTTCTCATGAGTTCTCGTAAGTTCTTATCCAGCAATGTGACAGTCAGCGATCAGCACTCTGCTGTCAGTCTGACTTAGTCTGCTCGGAAACGCAGCTGGACGGTGCTAAAACTGTAACTGTAAGAAGAAGTCCACCCCTATAGGAAATGCAAAAGATCTCAGTAGTGTTGACCCGATGCGGGCTGAGTAGGTACTAGGAGAAAACCCCCATTAGTTTAGAAGGACGTACCTGAACCTGGACTCAGGCTTCGAGCGTAATGTTGTAGACTGATTGTGCTTTTACAGTTTGTCTACAGTTCCTCCACCTTTATACTTACAGTGTGCCTCCATTGTTGAGGGAGTTGGAGCTGGGTCTGTTAAACAGCTGGGACTTGGCAGGGGACATGACCTGTGGCTGAGGCATGCTGGGGGGATCCCCTCTATTTACCAGATCTTTCTCCTGTATTTGAGGCAGAGGCAGCAATGGCTTAAAAAGAGCCCCAACCTTGAACTGTGGAGAAGAGACGGATGCAAACATGCTGAAGACATTCGGGGAGCAGGCAGAATATCCATGGACCCAGGTCTAACGGCAGGGTCTTAGTGCCACCCAGACTCAAGGGGCATGATATTCCTTTATTGCATTCATGCATTGGTGAGGTACATACAGTATCTGTGTGAATGTTTGTGAATTTTAAATCAGCCATGCATTAACAGAGTGAATGCACAAGATCACTCGTTTCTATAATTACCGGACACAGACCAAATAAAACATTATATCTGGCTGGAGCTGATAAGCAAGCTTTGAATACAACTTACTATAGAAGGTAGCCAACTACTAGGGGCTTGTACTCTAAATTAGGCATTACATTAGCAAAGTTTTTGACATCTTTATCAAATACTCAGATAATGACTGGGAATGTAATAAAGATGTGAACGAACAAATCTTTGCAGGCAGATGGGGGAAAATCATGCAGGTTTTACATTCAAAATTTGTATCCTTGAATGCATATCTATGTGTGAGTATGCACATTTCTTCATAAGATGTATGTATGCTGTACCTTGGAGCCTGAACCGGTCTGCTGTTGCTGCAGCTGCAACTTCAATGCCCGATTCTGCTTATAGTAATCAAAGATCATCAGAGCCGCATAAACCTTTCCAACAGTCAGCTCATTGGCTGAGGAGGTGAGGAGAACAGAAAGAAGTCTGGTTAGAGGACAGTAAATGGTTCACAGAGATGTTACTTGTGTAACAAAACTTTACTTTAACTTACAGAACTAACTAACTTTGCTTTAATCACAGCAAGTAATTTGAATAAGGACAAAATTAACTGACTGAAAATAGTTTTTGAAGTTAAAGAGCCTGTAGAGAGGAACTGTATTCTAAATGAGATCGCCAAAATGTGCATTGCACACTGCTGGACTCAGAGTAGTAGATGGAATGAGGCTAATCTCGAGCATTATATTCAAATGTGTCATTTGTAAGAAGTTGAGAGGCAAAAGAGGAAATTCAGAAGACGTCTGATCTACCAGTGGACAGTGGATCCACCAATTGGTCATGATCTAGAGCTTCCTGCAAGAGCACAGAAGCACACCTTTGATGCTCCTTTCCTCGCATATGAGTGTTTGCGAAGGACAGTGCTACGAGATTCTCTCATGAAGTCCGAGGAACCTTGATGGCTGAGACCTGACATGGTCTTACCTGCTATTCAAGGTTCTGAAGAACTCATTTTGGGTTTAGAACAGACACACTAACTACATTAAGGCAAACCGCTGGCATAGTTGTTAAGATGTTGAGATCGGTGTTGAGCTTATTTGTGTGAATGGTGAAGTAGCAATTATTGCTTCATTTCATATTATGGTTGCGTTCCTGTCAATGCATTGTCTTAATGGTGCGTGCTTACTGGAATGTAAAGAGTTTTTCCATATTTCATGTATCTGTAATATATTTTATGTTTTATTTATGTTGCAGTTTTACAAAAGTGGACCAGATTCAGTTTTGTCCACTATCTGTCAGCCAGGACAGAATAACTAATGAAAACATTCCTCTAAGGAGCTCATTCCCCCTATTTTGGTGGCTGTACAATCAGGCACAGTTAAAAAGTTCAAAATGTAAATTAAACTTACATTTGTGTGGTGTCACTAATAGATCCATGGTCTTTTGAGAGAGGTTTGACCATACTGTTGACAACTCCTTCTTTAACTCAGCATCCAAAATTCGCTGGGCTACAATTCCTAAAAATCCACAGAGAAATATAAACCTTAGCATCGAATTGCAGTACAATATAAACAATAAATTTGAATAATCAAACTGATAATAACTCAAGGAATGAAGCGCAAATAGAACTAACAAAGCTATGAGGATTACACCGCCATAGCAAGTACTGCAAAGTTATCTGATTATCCTAATTAGTACTCGTATGTAAAATGCAGCCTTTCACTCCAAAAAACACACATTTAATTAAACAAATATCTCTTTCGTTAGAACAGCAAAGCTAGTAAGGATGGCTGACATAATCATTTCAGTAAAAAGAAACGAATTAAAGACATTTATTGTGAGTATTATGTTTAAAAGCAGCCGATACCTTTAATCACATTTGTTTTTATGTGGTTAGAAGTCAAAGTGGTGCATTATGATAAGACAGCTTACCCATTGTATTGTCACACATATTAATACGTTTTGTGTTCAACATTAAAAAAATAAAAAATTCAAACTACTCACATTGGCATTGCTCAGTACATGACAATAAAAAAGCAAATCTTTCTTGTTATGCAACCCACTTACATCTACTGGTTGATTTTCCCAATTACTAAACCAAAAACTTACAGTGAGGACAGTTTTTTTTTGTGTGCATGCATGTTGTTTAATGTAGATTTAATTAAAATGTCGATGGGTTTTTTTTGTATTATTTTTTTTAAACTCTGCATAGTATAAGTTTCTTTGATGACCTGAGGCCAGCTTTATCTCCAGCGCAGTGCGAATCAGGGCCATCAGGGTGGAGGTAAAGTGAACCGTGTTGTCATCATCTATAGGCATGTTCATTTTCACAAGGCGCTGAGGGGAGAGTCAAGTAACAAATATTACATCACTTAGAAATCAAATATAGAGAAGAAAATATACAACTCATTCAGAGAAATCAATCTGTGTGCTGCTCTGATGCAATCACCATGATCTTATTTTGACAATCTTTTTTATTTCAGCTGGTTTTAGTTGAATATGTTTTGACCACATTGATCAAATTTTTATCGTGATCAGTTTTGCACACAAAAAGGATTCTCTACGTGTACATACAGACAAACTAAACATTCACATTCACTGCTACTGGCTGCAGTATGCACTATGTTGCATGTCAAAGTGCACTGGTGCAAGACTGACATTGACCGAAAAAAGGTTGAGAGAAGGCATGTAACACATAACCATGAAGGTGCTTCGAAAGTTGGAGCTCGACTCTGTTGTTGCCATCCTTACAACCATCAACTTTGACTTTGGAACTGAATAAGTTTACGCATTCAAAGCCACCAAGTGAGTCCATTTTTACAAAACTTGGGCTGCCTTGGCAGGGAAACTTCAGATAGTCTTAAACAGCACTAATGGAACCGTAAGATTGTTACTTTAAGAGTTGAGCTCCCTCTGAATAAAAAGCATACACCTACATGTGCTTTTAGTGGCAGTGCAGAGTGTAAGATCAGAGATAAAATGACAAGGATGGAGAGCTGAGGGAACAACACATTCACTAACATAAATATCCACACTCATGTACAATCACTCACTAATACTTATTCACAGGCACGTGTAGAATTTGAACAACATCTTTAGCAAGACGTTGAAAAGGTAGACGTTCCTGTCGAAAAAAATGTATTGAAACTTATATTTATACTACATTTTTAGAGTGCATGCAGTTCATTATTTGCTACATTAATCTACTTAAATAGACAGAAGGCTGTAAAATGATAGCTTTCATAAACTGAATTGTGAAAGTGCATTCATTAAATTAGTGACATCAAACATTAATTTTTGATGTCATAAAACCAACGCTCTCCAGGTATATTATCATATCTGAAAACATTATTTACTATATCTGTTCCATTTGTCCAGGACTTGTTGATAAAGAATATTGTGATGCCATTGCCAACATATTTTAATGACTGGTGTGGTGGTAGTGATGAGATAAAAGTTAAGTTTTAGTATCATCACATTTGGCAGCCTTTATAAATACAAAGACTACTGAAACTGATAGAGTAAGCATGTCAAAGTCATTGTGGGATTTAATAGATTTATAGACTGAGCACTGAAACCTTTAATCTAAAGCAAGTGTGTAGGATCAGCTAGAAACCATATGGAATTTATTAAGAGAAACTGTCAAAAAAGTAGTTAAAACCAAAAAGAGCCAGAATGTAAACTAATGTCTAGAAGGTCCTACACAATATTAATACTTTAATAGTAATACTATTAAGTTGTTTTAAAATGATTTATTGAAAAAGCAATGTATACATACATTACTGGTTGTGTGTGTGTGATGTGTTAACATCTAAACAAATGTTGACATCAAAATAAACAGTGATGCAACATAGAAGGACGAATGGTATCCACAAAATAATGTACATTTACTGTTCTTTTCAGGTAATGTCTATAAAACATTTTCAAAGTCTTATTTTCCCTATATTCGACTATAACCACAATAGTATTAGAAGATCGGACCACAGATTTAGGCACATTAGAGCTACCTAATAGCGACTGCATTCTGTTTCCAATTCTTTCTCGGTGTATTAATACCCATGTTGCAGGTGCAGTTTTCCTGATTCAGACGAGATATAAAGAGAGACCACATGTTTATCTCAGACTGAAATGCTGTCTAATGAACAAATATTATATCATCTTGACATATTTGAACCAGTGCTGTGTAGCACTAACTATTTAAGCAGATACAAGCACATACACTCTTCCCAGGTTTGAAAGATTGAGATGATAGAAGTGATTAAATGAGAGGAAACAAGCAATAAAGACAGACACCAACTAAAAAGTACATTAGACAGGGTATTCCTCAAGCAAGGAAGCAACTGAAGCAATAGACATAATACACTTACGCACACACACACACAGATAAAAACACACTGTATCATGAAATGTAAACGTAAACTTGGTTTTACAGTTAAAATGAAATTCTTGCGAAAGAAAAATAACACGGTATCAACATTTTAAATCACTTACGTCTTCTTAGATTAATTCTATGTTATCAGTAGTAATGATATCCCCCCAAAAAACAACTATGCTTAGCAAAACAGCATTAAGATAGAGGCTCACCAGAAGCTAGCTAAACAAAGTGAACAAATGGTAACGCTGCAAAAGAAAAGACATTGAGTTCACAAACAAACAAAAAAAAAGAAAAGGAGAAGGATTTTGGAGCAAAAAACAAAAAAAAAAAGTGGAGGAAGAGTACAGTCTACCTTATAGGCGACTCTTGGTGGACATTTCTTTCCCAAACCTAAGGGTGGGGACATGTGGCGCAGCATCTGATACATATCGCAGTACTTGATACGGCCGCTTCACAATGTTGGAAAATCAATGTAAACAGAATGAAGACAAAGAAGGATGTGGGGAATAAAGAGAGGAGCAACAAAGGGGGAAAAAAAACAGAAGAACAATGGGGAGGAAGAACAGAAATCTTTTGTCAATAGATTTCTTAAAGTGAGATGAGGGGTGGATGTCATCCTCGGCCTCTTTTCTGGGCACAGGGATGCATCGCTCTGGAGCTCAGGAACCCTGAGAGGAAATATGGGATGGTGAAAAGCAAGTCTGGTCAGAGACAAGACAAGGATCAATTGAAAAAGGAAGGATGGATGGGTTGACCAAACACACGTGATGCTGATAAGTTGGAAGAGAAATGAGAGCGCTGTAATGAGAATGTCTGCCTTAGCATGCAAACAGACATCCACTGCGGCATAAAACCAAGGGTGCATGGAGACAAAGGTTTAAACGTCAAGCCTGGGCTTTTCTTTTTTCGATACAGAGCTTGGCAGACATCTTTATAAACAGAAACGTCCATTAGAATTCTTCAAAAGTTTCATCTCATCTTAATACGCCGATGAGATTCCTTTGTGCGTGAAATTGTTTCTTTTTAATTCGACAACAAGAACTAATATATTTCTGTTATATGGATATTATGAAAGCCAGCAAGGTATCATGCTTTCAAACCTTTGTTTCCGGTCCAATATTACCCAAAGCCAGACAGTTTGGAGTCATGGGTGCTAGGTGTAAATGCATGTATTTGGTGCACAGCCAATCAATTAATAGGTCTCTTGGCATAGAGGTACACAAAGCACCCTGATGATAGAAATGTCTATTATTTGCAAACCTTGTATGCTACCCTATTAGGGCAGTTCTTCCCTAAGCCAAGGGGAGGTGAGATAACACGTAACAAATTGTACATATCCTTATAGGAAATCCGTCCGCTGCGGAAAAGAACAAGCACATGAATAAACAGACGTTCAGGACAGCTTGAAATGAAATAATATTCCTTCAGTGGGCTCACTGCATTCAACAAGGTATGGGAACGACACATGCGCATGAGGCCACGCTCAACCTCCTTCATCACACATGGAGAAAGAGAGAAGCGGGGTTAGTCTCTTTATTCGCTCGGCCTTTGTTGCCGTAGGCCGGGATAACATACCAAGCAGCTGGGTCGTACTCAGCCCAAACTCGGATGAACTCATCCAGGTGATGAGGTCCCAGGATGGAGGAGTCTCTGGTGAGGTACTCAAAGTTATCCATTATGACAGCTACAAACAGGTTCAACATCTAGAACACAGACAGCAGGTGGTGATTACATCTGTGAATATATATACAATCACAATTTATATATATTTTTTAAATACAGTGAATTTGCTGAATTAGCTATTTCTCAGCATTCATCAACTGTGAGCTAAATATTGGCTTAAAAGATTTAGAAGTCCTTGTTATTTTTAGTTACTAATCTCAATTTAGGTACAGTGCCAGTTACTGTTCAGGGTATACACTTCGGTGAGTTTCAATACTGACCAGAAAGGAGCAGAGGAATATAAAGGAGACAAAGTAGAAATAGGCAAAGTCACTGCCACACTCTTTCCCCTGAGTCCCCGACAGCTCGTCACAGACTCGATGACTCAAACATGATAACATGATCTCATGCCAGGCCTCTCCAGTTGCACTCCTGGGTCACAGAGCACGTACGTAAAGACAAATATCTCTTTGTAATTGAAAGTAGAGGCATTTCTGGAAAAGTGTTGTGAGATTTCTGATACCTGAAGAGTAGCATGAGAGCCTGAAGGAAAGTGCGGAAATTATTGTGGTGATTGATAGCCGTGTCTTCATTCAGCTCAATGTTGCCAAATACCTTAAAAAGGAGAAACGGGGAAGTTAATTTTGAATATCTTACTAATGCGCAATCAGTGTTTTTCCTTTCAAGACTGCAAAGTGTTCCGTTGTATCACCTTATGTGCACAAATGTATCTATGACAGCAAAATAAAACTCACTCACCTGCATCCCAATGATAGCATAGATGAAGAAGAGCATGGCAATCAGCAGGCAAACGTAAGGCAGGGCCTAAAGGGAACGAGGGCAATCCAGAACACAGCGAGTTAGTCCTTATCTGTTCTGAACCATCCAGGAAACATGATTGTGTATATGATGGGAGTTAGGGATGGATGGGCCTTTGGATCGGGATCAGTTGAGGTTTGTTTACAAAAAAGTGCAGCCATTTTATGTGTGTGCCAGTACCTTAAAGGACTGGACAAAGGTCCATAGCAGGATGCGGATGGTGTAGCCCTGCCTCAACAGTTTAATGAGTCGAGCAGCTCGGAAGAGCCTGAGGAAGCTCAAATTCAGCAGCCTGTCCTGTTAGACATGTAAAGGACATTAACCGAGCCCTTGTCAAAAATCTCTCTTCAGCACACAAGTAGACATGAGCAAAAATATAAGTCTAAACAAGAGCATTTCAGCAAGTTTCAATTCACAACTTCATGATTATTTAATTACAATGAGATGTAAATTAGTTGTAAACTCATATAAATATAATTTAATTTAATAAAAATAATTTATGTAGTGAATGCATTATAATCACCATATATAAAAAGTTGTAATACAGTCTTTTACTTGTCTTCTGCTACCTGGTGGATACATTTTGCACTCCAATAATTCTATTATATCACATGCATTAAAAATTGCCTAAGTCACATAACTTGCTGCTTATTTCCAAGAGTAGCATTTTGTATTTTCAAGGACATGAATGATGTGATTGAGGCAATTTTTTGTTACTAAATATTTTGGATTTTGTTTATAATTGAATTATGCAGAAACTGTTTTTCTAATTCTATATGAATACAATCATTTAGACGTAAAATTTACTTTTTTATTGCACTTTTAAGGGATTTTTATGAAGAGTTAAATAAAATGTTCTATTATTTCTTGGATCAGGAATTACAGAGTAATTACATTGATAAGTAATTGTACAGGTATGTAGGATGAAAGAGTTTGAAAGTCTAAAAGGGCACTTCCCTTTGTTTGGATTCCATTAACCGCTTGAAAGGTCAATTTAAATTGAAAACTTCTTTCAGCATTCAGGTTACCAATAAATAAAATATATTTCAAACTGTGTTTACACACATTTTTAGCTGACCCAGTGAACAAGTTGCTTCTCCCTCAGCACAGACAAATGCCACAAAAACAGCCAGTATGTCTGTCTGTCCCCATTTAAATGCACAAACATTTTAAAATGCAAAAGATTATGTCAGCTACTCTGGGAGTGAATGCATTAAAGGGAATGTTTAGAGGCACAGAAGCAAGGATGAGACTCAGACTGACAGTCAGCTCACTTTATGGTCACAAAACATCCCCCTTTACATTGGAGTTGTATGTCGTACATCTACTCAGTTACTTTTACGTTTGCACTCAACCACTTTAACACTGTAGCAGATATGATAAGCAACAACATGAGTAAGTTAATAAATAAATTATATATTCCTACTGAGGAAAAGCTTAGTGACTTTTACCTATGCCACTGCTACTTTTGTTTCTGCGTTTAAGACTATTTTGTTATTATATTATATTATCATTATTATTATTGAATAATTAGACATTTCTTTAACCATCTTATTTTTTCATGACCAGAGCATTGTGAGATTTAAATCATATTAAGTCAATGTTACTGTAATTTGTGCACTGGGTTAAATCTTAGCTGTGTGGTGATACTGAAAAGCTAAGAATTGTTTTCTATGATTTTTCCAATGCCTTTAACACCATTGATCCTCCACTATCTGCTGACTTACTGACCACTTGGTATGACATACCACGGTCACTCCACCTTTTCTGTTTGACGTTGTGGTCAGTGATACAGGAGCTACACAAAGCACTGTGCGGTCTCCGTTGTACAAGCCCAAAGAGCTGGTCATTACAACGACAACAGCCTGTGGTCTAGCAAGGACTGTCAAAGTAAGAACAACAGATGGAACAGTATTGGAAGACCAACAGCATGTCTGTGTATGAGAAGGGCAATAGTAGACTATTGTTTTCTGAGTAAGTTAAGATCTGTTTAATGTGTGAAGCAAGATGCTGAAGATTTGTTTTTGATTTTGTAATAGTTGATGTACAATTCTTTGCTGTTGTCTGCCGGAGGAGCAGCATTTGTGTCAGAGATGCAAATAGATTACAAATACTGATTGGGAACTTATTGGACACAATCTGGATACATTTAAGGCTTTAATTGAGGGGAAGACTCCGTCAATCCATTTGGGAACATCCTGACCTGAACTGCACTTGTGTTCCTCTTAACTAAGTGATATCTGTACATAAACTGTACACTTGCGCATTACTGTAAATATTTAGTTCATTACTCTTTCGAAAAATACTTGTTCATCAACATTTTATGTATACATTTAGTTTTTTTCAAATATCAACATTTGATATTTATGATTCATTTTTTAATCGTATTATGTTCTGTACATGCATATCTTCTCTCATTTAGTCTCTTCTATTCTCTTATCTTAACTCCACATCCACATTCTACAAGTGTAATAATAAATGACAGAATAACTCATTTTGGAGACCGGAAAATTATACATACAGTTGCATAAAAATTAGACACTATGCAGGCAAAGGACGGAGCATGGCAACAGAAAATCACTCACCGTTGTCTAATGAACCAAGAATAGTTTGGAACCAGGGTAAGGTAACATTGTTGATGACAATCAATAACAAATGTTGAGGAAAAGAAGGACAGTAAGGCAGAGAATTGAGGAGAGAGAGGAAATGGAACAATGAAGAAGCAGAAGAACAGCAACAGTCAGCAGCACAATTTAAACAAATAGAAGTCAATACAACATGACAAATATGATCCATCAATTCACTGACATACAAAGGTAAATGCACTTGGAGCAAAAAGCCTGGATTTAATAAAGCGATTGTAGCATAGCACAGAAAGCAGACGGAATGTTACTTACAGGTTTATCTCTGATGTGACAGTGATCAGATGATGATCAATGATTAGTCTATTCTATGAACAGACAAACTATTATACTCTTTTTCTTCTGCTAAAACTGTCAGGCTGCACTTATTAGAAAGCTTTACGCACACTTTTCCTGGTCTAGCTCTTTACTGTGGCAACAGCATTGTATGGGCATTATTGAGGTGGATGGTTGAGTGAGAGGAAAAAGTGCTCTTACATTTATTTCAGTCACCAGGATGTCAGTGATGCTGCCCAAAACTGTCACGAAGTCAAACACATTCCAGGCGTCCTTTAAGTAGTTCTGAAAGCAAAGAACAATGATTAGCTGCTGTCGATCCTCCCAGACTTGGAACTGCTTTGTAACTGGTACCCACCAGTGGACCAAACGCGATGATTTTAAGGATGCACTCAAGAGAGAAGAGAATGGTGAACACAATGTTGAGGTTCTTTAGCATAGCTTCGTAAAAGTCTGGAGCTCCATGAAACTGAAAAAGAGGAACAAATGTTATTTCACTGGTATATACCAATTTGTCTAATACTCTTCTAGAGTAGTACAGAATTGTTTATTTTTTTGTATGAGTCAACAAGAGCTCGTCTGTTACTAAATTTTAGATGTTCTCATTGTCAGATTTTGTTTTTTTGCTTGAGACAGCACTTAACCACAACTGTCCTGTATATTTGCAGGGAAAACGTAAGCAAAAAGACTGCTAAAAGGAGCATACTCTCCTGGTGAAAAGGGAAAATCATCATAATAACACCAATAATGTATTTTGTATTTGTTTGTATAACACTCTTAAAAAACTCAAATACACTTTACAATTACCAGACTAAAAAGACACATAAATCAGAGTACTTAACATAATATAACACAGGTTATCAACCAAGAACGACTAAATTAGAACTTTTAAGAATGTAACACATGACACTAATCACAACAAAAGCAGTTCTAAAAAGGTGGGTTTTGACATCTGATTTGAATGTGGATAGGTCTGTGCAGTTACAGGTGTGTTTGGAGAGAGTTCCACAGGCTGGGAACAGACAGAAATGCACTGACATCCCAGGTTTGGTGCTTGGCTCTGAGGAATGGTAACAAAAGGTTGGCATCAGGTTGGTGAGCATGCAGGTGGCCTGGTTATGGAGGATTTTGAAATGGAAGGGGAAACAAGTGGCCTCGATGTTGTTGGTGTCAATGGTGAGACTGAGGTTGTGGATGGTTTTGAGGAACTTGAGACGGATGATGATGATGTCTGATTTGTCAAAGATGTAGAGCTGAACATCATCAGCATATCAGTGGAAGTGGAGACCATTGATACCAAGAGGGAGGATGTAAAGGATGAAGACTAGAGGTCCAGACACAGAACTGTGGGGCATGCCTTTTGACAAAATGTGTGCAAAAATTGAGGATGTGCAGTAAATGAAGCTGGTGAATTGTTGTTTTTCTAGTGAGATATGACTATAACCAGTTGAGGGTGGTGCCGGTGTTGTTGAAGGAGGATTATAGGCTGGAGAAAAGAATGGTAGACTAATGGAGTCAATGGCCGGAGTGAGGTCAAGGAGGAGGAGACTGTAGAGAGGAGGATGTCATTGGGGACTTTGGGGACGGGGTGTTTATGTCCTGTGAGGTTAGCAGAATCCAAGCTGAAATGGTTCATGAAAAAATTGGAGGTGAATTGGGGTTTAAGTTGAGTGGTGACAGCACATTCCAGTATTTTAGATAGAAATGGGAGGTTGGAAATAAGGTATAGTGTCTGCATTTAGTCCAGGATTTTTGAAGATGAGGTGACAGTGGAAAGTTTGGAGAGGAGTGGAGAGGTTTTCTCCACAGGGGACATGGAGTTCTAAGTTGAGAGTCCTTTGTTTTGGTGGAGATGGTCAGCTTAGTCTTGGTGATGGATGGCTAAACCAGTCTTAAATCATGTCTTCAAAGGCTAAACTCCTATCAAAAAGCTTAAACAACAGTGTATTATTGAATCTCTGTAAATATCCTCACCTTCATCATGAGCACCACGGTATTGAGAGCGATCATGATCATAATAGAGTACTCAAACGGAGTCGAGACAACAAATTTCCACATCCTGTATTGGAAGGATTGTGTGTTCTGAGGCATGTAGCGTGTCAAAGGCTTTGCATTTATGGCAAAGTCAATACAAGCCCTCTGGAAGAAGGAAAAGAAAAATAGAAACATGGGAAGTGTCAGTATCGGAGGAATGTAAAATTAATTTAACAAAACACATTTAATATATTTTGATAAAAATGGCTATAAGTAGCCAGAAAGTTGGAATCATTGACACAGACAATATAGAATACGGATACTACATGAAAAGTTTACTTGAGTGGTTGTTTGGTGTTCTAAACAGCAACATAGAGGATTTGTCATAATTTCAGTGTGTATTTGGTAGCTGACCAAAAGCGTTGTGTCACAAAAAGCTGCACAGAAAAAGAGTAAATAATTTAAAGAAAACTAATGAGACAATATGAAGAGAAATAATGAAAGAATTCAAATTAAAATGATGAAATACAATGGGAGATAAATACAATATAGAGTATATCAAGTATAAAATGTTAATTTTTTTCATATAATATAGTAATAATTGTCAGCTTATTCCTTATTATTCCAAATTAAACACAAATTTTATCATGGCATAAGTCCTCTCGGGATATTCATAATTTACATCAAGCCAGAAAGGCTTCACTGTCCTAATGGCTTGATGTTCAGGACTCAAGACGTAAATCTTTGTACAATACTTGTGACAAATAAAAAGACTAATGCAATAATAAAGACAAATGAGAACAAAAGCAGTGGTGGAGGTGGCAAATACAACGCAGGGAATCGAAAAGAAAAAAAATGGTGATGATGAAAAACACCAGAAAAAGGACAAATGCAACATAAGAATATGAACATGATGACTTTCTAGATAAACAATATTTTTCATACCCTTAAAACTGCTGGCATGCCTGAAATAAACTCAGCTTTTGTGACAATTTTTCTACATGATCAGTCCTTATAGCAAAATACTAACAATTATACCCTTCCTCTTCTGCTCAAAATATCGGGCTATATCTATCAAAAAGCCTGTTGCAGACTCACCTTGGCCTAAATCTTTACTAAGGTAACAACATTATATGGATTGAATACCTTATTGAAGTGTACAGTTGAGTGAAAGGAAATAATTTATTTTTCATTTACACTTCTGGTGGTATATGACCCTCAGGGTAGTTGTGTGTGTCTGTGTTTTACCTCATTCTTTTCCAAGCTGCACTCCGACAAAGCTTTGTCCCCCTGCTCCTGGAAGGTGATAATGATTAAAGCGACAAAAATGTTCACAAAGAAGAAAGGGAAGACTACAAAGTAGACCACGTAGAAGATGGACATTTCTATCCGATAGCCTGGACTAGGACCCTTGTCTTCGAAAGTAGCATCCACGGAGTGCTTCAAAACTCTGTAATGAATAAGAATGGATACTTAGATGTTAGTTAGTTTCCGTAATTAGCATGTTAGCACATGTGCACACACAAAAACTTTTCAAGAGAAGGTACTGATACTAAAACTTTGCTCAGGGAGTCAAGACAAAAGTAACTTACGTTGGCCAACCCTCTCCAGTAGAAACCGTAAAAAGAGTCAGAAAGGCCCATAGCACATTGTCATAATGGAACTCATATTTCCTCCACTCTCTTGGCATGGCTGCCACGTCATCTTTTTCATAGTCTAGGAATTGCCCTCTGAAAGACATGAGGCAATATGCAGGGTTAGGGCTGGTGCACGCCAACAATTTACAGTTAAAAAGTTTGGGAAATGAATAGATAAAATAAACGGATTTTAAACCAACTTGCAGTCTTTTTCCAGGCCCTTGGACTCATCAGTGCAATAGAAAAATTTTCCCTTGAAAAGCTGAACCGCGATCACGGCAAATATAAACATGAAGAGGATGTAAACAATGAGGATGTTCAGTACGTTCTTCAAAGAGTTGACCACACAGTCAAACACAGCCTGAAGACACACAGTAATGCACACTTAAATCAGATCTGCACAGTAAATGAAACAGTATTTGTGATGTAATGGTGGTTATTCAGTATGGCACATTTTCAAACAGAGATCAAAACAATGGTCTAGTTCTACTTCTACTTGCCTGTTGCCAGACATGCTGTGGAATATGGACATAATGCACAAACATGCAAATATTTAAAGGATTAATTTAATACAAGAAAATCTCTACAAATGATCCAGAATGCCACAGCGTGTCTGGTCTTAAATCAGCCCAAAAAGTCCAACTTCACCCCTATATTCATTAAGTTTCAATGGCTACCACTACTACAATACTACTAATTCACGAATGTTAGCCTACAAAGTGTGTAAAGGTACAGGTCCCATCTACATGAATACTCTTGCAAAGGCTTATGTCACAACTCGGTCACTCCAATCATCTATGGATTGTGATCGAGCAGTGCCTACACCACGTTAAGACAATCCAAAGTCTTTTCATATGTCGTTCCACGATGGTGGAATGACCTACCAAGCTCTATATCTTCAAGAAACTCTTGAAGACCCAGTTCTTTAGAGAACATCTTTTCTCCTAACTCTTACCCTGTACATCTTACCCTGTACATCTTCTGTACATCATTCTATCTCTTTACTGTCACCACTGTTGCTGCTAACAGAGTTTGACTTGCGATTTTCTTCTAGGTAGCTTATTTTCAGGTTGAGGGTACCTTTATCTGCATTGTGAGATCGCTTTTGAGAAAATGAGCCGTAGTAAAAAAGGGAACAGTGACATGCCAGGAAGATTGGCAAGGAAAAGGTCATCTCATTGAAATGACAAATGTTATTTATACACCACTTCAAGATGAATTACTTTAAGAAAATACCAAACAAGGTATACCTTAAAGGAAATCAACATCCACTGTTGGACTTCTTCAACTGTATTGTTCTTGTTTTAAAATTCCTTAAAGGCTGATTCCAAGACAATCTACTAAAACTTTTATTCAAATGACCAATGAATTAAAAAACAATTAAAAGAAATTCAAAAATGAAATACGCCCATCATATTCGTTGCGTACCACTGGCAAATGTCAGCAAATCAAGTTCTTTACTTACAGTCCAACAGAGAATCTTTCTTTATTCACGTACTTCTCTTATTGATAGTCTTATTGGAAAGAGTCTGTATTCATGTAGCAATAAGTAATTAAAGTTGCAGTAAAACTTTGGCTTATTATGATGACAATAACAGGGTATAACCTTGAGCTTTGGCAGACGTTTGATGGTCTTGAGAGGCCTGAGAACTCGCAGAACCCTGAGCGACTTGATCGTGCTAATGTCTTTCCCTTTAGTCCCCCTGTGAAAAGCAAATTGAGTTAGACCACACACAGTATTAAAGACAGACAACAGCCAGTTAAAACATGTTCTTACTTTATCGATGAACTGATAAAATCATAATTTTAGCCATAATTTAGATGAAATTAGATGTTAGTATTTTATAGATAATTTCAAACTGCCTAACTGGTTTAGTTTGAAATCAGTTACATAAAAGTGGCAAATGGCAAGAGGCTTTTTAGTGAAAAAATGAAAATAAAAAAACACATGAGAAATGGGAATCATGTTGAAAACCATTTCTGATCCACAACGCTTCATTCTGTCACTACCTTTGATTATTGAGTTTAGTTTTACATTACATAATTCTAATGTGCATCACAATTGCTTGCCATTAAACAAATAATTTCTCATTAACAAGATAAACAGCACTTGTATTGTTACATTCCTGCTTTTAAGTTGTGTTTTGATCTTTTCTTGTGTTTTCTGTGCTTTAGTTAGGTTTATCCTCCTGGATATTTATTGTGCTGCCCTTTTGAGTTTAATTTGTTCTCCTGTGTCTCAGCAGCTGTCCTTGGTTCTCCTGGTTCTCCTGATCTTCTCCTGAGCCCCACTCCCTTCTCCTTTTTCATTGCCCTCAGCTCATCATCGAAAATATCTCAAATTAAGCTACTTGATCATTTAAATTCACCTCCAGACAGATTCTGGACTCTCTCTTCTGCTTTCTGTTCCCTCCAGTGTCTCCACCACCTTCACTTTCCTCAGTTTCTCCTGCTTCTCCTTATTGGCTCCATTCACTTCTCCAGGCTTAGTGTCCACAGCTGCTTCCACCCCCAATTCCTCTCCCCTTCATATAAACTCTTCTGGTTTAGTCCTCCTTACCGATTATAAGCCTGTCATGGTTGCTATCCTCTTCTTTATAGTATCTCCACATCAATGTTCCTTTCCCAGGTTTTCTACTTGGTTTGTAGCTTTCTTTATAGCTTTCTTCGGATTTAAAAAAAAAGTGTATTGTCTTCTTTGAATGGGCACTCATGGTTTCATGTTTTTTTTTGGATTATTTTGGTTTGTTTTCAATCAAATTTAGATCATGGTTTCAATTATTTCATTATCTTCGTTTGATCGTGTGCCCTTCCTTGAGGTTCTTTTTTTGTTTCTGTGTTCTTGTTTGTTTCCTGTCCACTGGTTCTAACTAAACACGGATCAAGCAAGCAAGCCTCCGCAGAAGGAACTGCAGAACGATGATCCTATGATGCTAATAGCAGTGCTGACCCAAAGACGAGGCTCAGATGAAGCTCTTGGACATTATTAACTCTAGAAACTGGTTGAGGAGGAAGGAAGAACCCTGACAGAAGTGATCAAATTTGATTTAAAGTTGGATTTCTTCTCAGTTCCATTGATCTACATGCTGCCTGTATCCTCAGTCTTCCTTCTTCTTTCTTAGCGGGATGATGATCACTCTTATCAAGTACTTTAGATGGTTGGCTGCCACATCTGAGCTAACTGAGTTACTTGGCGCACAACCAGCTGCCCGTAGCCTGCTCCTTCCTGTCCAGAGGCTGGCTAGCCTGCTCTATTCATAGTTCTCCTGTGTCTGAGGTAACCCTTGGGAGATCTTCTCTGCTGGTCCTTGTCACAGTCTCTGAGGGATTGAAATGTGAGTCTTAGGCCTCAATCCTGGTCCCTGCCTCCTCTGTGTCCCCGTCCTGCCCGAAACCTGGCCACCCTTCTGAGAGGTCCCTGAGCAGCAGGCGTCCCTGGTCTCCTGCCAAACCTCCTGAATGTTTCCCATCTAACTGGCTTCCTTGCTCTCCTGCCAGACGACCGCAGAGGGCCCTGACTCGCTGGCCTCCTGCCAGGCCCTCCAAGGATTGCCGGACTCCCCTCTTCTTAAAGCCTCCTGCCAGGCTATCGGACACCTGCTAGTATCTCCAGTTTCTAAAGAGTTCAGAAATTTGCCAGTCCCCGCCCCCCTTATACCCAGAGGGTTTTTTTTTCTCCTGGGTAGATGCCACCACCCTGACCACTCAACACCATCCTGGTTTCTAACTGCTTTTTGTATTTGGGGGAATACCTTTATTTTTTTATATTTTGCTGTTGCGTTTTGGTTGAATACTTTTTGTTCAAAACATGTTACATTCTACACCACATTCAAGTTGAACAGCTGTGTCTTCACATGATCTTCTTAAAGCAGCCACGTTGCAAAAGAAGAATGAAGTCTTTGGCCTGTATTATAAGGTATGTAGATTGAACCTGTCTAAATTTACTCTATCAATGTAGATAATGTAACATGGTTGTATTATGCTGGTTAGCACCTCTGTTATTAAACTCAAGTTTTCAAATTCTGGAAATGTTAGTGTTCATGTCAAACAGGTTGAGTTGTAATTTAGTGGGCTAAACACAATTTATAATTCTACCAGGCTGAAAAGCAGAACAGCTGTTGCAATCAAAGAAAAATAATTCCACCAACATAAATATGTAATTGCAGCAAATAAAGTACATCTAGTAGATTAATGATAGTGTATCTAAAACAATCATGTAAAATAGAAATGCTCTTGAGACAAACCTCCAGTCTTTTTTAAGCAGGTTTAGCATGCTAAATACTGAAGGGTTTTAGTTGTTTGGTGAATTAAACTCATTTATCACTATATTAGATATATGTTTACAAGAAGCTGAATGTATAGACATCATCTGAAACGCTTTTATGAATTTAATCTCAGGAATGAATTATATTTACAATGAAGACAAATTGAAATTTTAGAACAATCTGTTGGTTTTATTAAAAAGGCAACTTTGTTTTGTAAATTGTCTGTCGTTGCATTGGACCAAACTGGTATTTCATTCATTTGACTGGATTATGGTTGTTTTATCTTTAACTGGATTATAATTGTGAATAATGTAAATAAAACTTAATTCAATTGAATGAAAGTACGGAAACTTATTTCAAAATATTTCAAAGATAGCAGGAACTAGTGGTTTGACGGATTATTAATGAAGTTGATCCAAGCACAGGAAATATGGAAGTTAGAAACGGGGGAAAAAATGGATGAGGAACAGGCACAAGATGAGTGGGATCAGGATAAGGTTAGGTTGACATAGGGGGGTTGCCCACCTGGTTACACCTTGTTGCGATCTACTTGGGGGGAAACAGTGGTAAAACAAGGTAAAGCACACTTATGGATGCTTTGCAAACACAAACAAAATAAAAAAACATCTTTACATCATTTGACATCACCACATTTCTATGAATGAAACATGACACGCTTTAGTTGGTTGTCAAATACCTGAATGATTAAGTCTAAGTAAAAACAGACTCCACAACAGATCTGAATTTGAGTACAGAAAAGCAAATGACAAGAAAACAATTTACAGTTTAGATAGTGTGTGCTAATTGTTGGCTGCCTTTTACTGTATTAACACATATATTAACAAACTGTTAAATTACAGGTAGCTGCTTATCTTTTGTCCGGTAGATGCAATTTCAACCAAAACATAGAAAACTAAGAGAAAATGTCAGTAAAACAAACAAAGACAACTAGATTAATTATAAGAATTAAACAAACTTTTGAAAGAGAATTTTAACGCTGGAAATCGGTAGAATCAGCAGCTACCTCGGCAGTTTGCTTCATCACATGTGAAATTTACCAGAATGCTACAATCTGAACTGTGAAAACCTGTGAAAAACTGTGAACCTGTGAAAGTCACACAACAGCTTTGATAAAGACACTGTAGTTCATTCTAAAAATGGTCTGCAGGATAACAAGCGTTTGCATTCATGCAAGATGAGGTGATAACACGTCACAGTCAAGCAACACTTCCTGTCTGCCATAGTGTTAATATATTGTTGACCCGGAAAAAAAAAAGCCTGTGCAAATAACAAGTGTAAAATCTAGCCTGAGAGAGGTTTGTCCTTTGGAGAAACTGATTCAGGAGATGGCATAACATTTAAAAACTATACACACAGAGATGTATCCAGTATTGATTAAATAAAAATCAGACTTTATGAAATAAACTATAATCTTACAGTTCAGTGGATTCAATCAAATGATTCCATGAAATAGAAATCCGCCACTCAGACAGCCAGTTTATCAAGTACAGTATGTAGTGTTACCTGATACTGTACAAGCCAAAATCCACTCACATAGACAGAATATAATAAATAAATTAAATTGTTATGAATAATGAATGAATTAATGTTATATTGAAGTTGAAATATTGATTGAGAAAGATCAAATTCCCAATCTTAATGCACTTTGGGGGAAAAAATCAATCTCAGTAATAAGCATTTTTGTCTCTTGTGACACATGCCAGCACACATGATAATTAGGAAAAACACACTATGGAGAGATGTCAAGAGACAGTACTGACTGCTCTGATACATAAGGACAGTGATCAAGACACTTAAGAACAGTGTTTCTTTGTAGCAGTAGATGTAACTGTTGTAGGTACAACATATAAATTACAAATATTTAAAGAGCATCACAACATTTTTGTGTGAAAATACATTTTCAGTATGGTAAACTGCCTTTATGGTGGATTATCCTGCATACAGACTACTAAATCTAGAGTCTATGTAGTTAATGATTATAATTATAGATTTTGTTCCTTGTGATCCATGAGGTTTAAGTATGAGTAAAAGGGATTTGCACACTCTTTGGGCCAGTTGGGCCTGGTGTGCAAAGCTTTTCATAATTTGAAATGCCATCTTGACATGTCACCCAGGAAACTAACTAAATTACATACTGATAGCATGATTAAAGATGTGCTTTATCCAAAATTATAATTCCTTACCGTAAGAGAGTGGTTTTAATTCCAAAATGTGTTGTATTAAACCGGGTAGCTTTCATTTAATTCATGGTGACATCTTTCTGCTTATTGGCGGACCTACTCACTTATAATGTTTAATGGTTTTTTTAATTCTCTACTAACGAGTTATTCGTGGAAATGAAAACAAAGGCTTTCTGCACTGATAAGATTCACAGAACAACTTACAACCCTTAACTATTTTTCATCCTCAAAACTCGACTTAACCCTCCTCCTCCACCACCTGCTAGCAGCAAACAGCAGACACCTTTGCCTTCTTTTTACTGTTAAGTGGCAGCAAACACTTTGCCGAACTGCCCACACCTGAACCTTCTCTCATTTCTTTCATCCACTCTTCTCACTGAAAGCAATATGTCTAAGCTTCTCACATGTAGCCGTTCTACAACATGCCCGTTAGACCCTGTTCCTATTAATCTATTTCAGTCCATCAGTCCTCTCCTCCCATTTCTGGGAAGAAGAGCAGTTTTTAAGCACCGAAACAGCTCTGTTGGCTGTGATAGAAGCCTTAAAACAAGCCAGAGCAACAGCTAAATCTTCAGTAATTATCCTTCCTGACCTATCAATTGGATTTGACATGGTCAATCACAACATCCTTCAGTCTATATTCTCAAGCATGGGCATCACAGGGAGAGCACACTCCTGTTTTGATGCGGAACTCACTGGTCAATCTATCTTAGTATCCTGGCTTAGTCACATACTCTTTGCCCTTTATACCACCTCACTGGGCCAGATCATCTCTGACATAACATAATGGATGATGAGTGATTTTCTTCTATTTAGCTTATTGTCAGGTTGACACATTTCAGAAATTATTAAACGTAATCTGAAAAAAAGTTTTTATATATGAGAATATATTTATCTTCTCTGATTCAGTTTTCATCTTTTGGTCATTGTTTATTATGTGATAAAAACATTTCAAATAAATAGAGAGAAAATCACTACATGGATG